TTTGCTGTGACATAATCGTTATGCTGCAGGGTTTTTTTTGTATCTAATAGTGAAAGGTGAGGACACAGATTCACCTGGTCTTGTCTAATCTTTCGTCATGCTACCCGTTAAACCTGACGTCATACACAAACTCACATTGGCTGCTAGGATCAGTTTAGATTAACCTACTGGACAGGAGGCAGCTGGGATTACGTATTAGCCAACGAACACCACTGGTGTGAGAGCAACGATTTAAAAAGGGGAATCATAAAGACTAAGTTCTGGCTAATAGACCTCTACACACCTGAGGAACTTTTCTAGTTAGTTAGGGGCTTACGTCACTTTTCTTACCTTCATGATGCATCAAGGAACCAGAGGATTATTAGCTGGAGCAAATGAAAGATGAGGAAGTTGTCCAGGGTTTTACTCTGTGTCTGTTCTTAGCCGCTTCGCTGGCCTCTCATCGCTGTTCTCAAGTTCATTAAAGAAACATTCTCCCTGGAACTGAGAAGCAGGACTTATTGATTCAGTCTCCTCTGGTTTCTTGCGCTTCTTGCTGTCTGAGCTAATATTTTCCACAGTTTTGTTGACGACAAGGCTTCTCCACTTGTTCTTGCTCAGTTGCAAACATCTGACTGCATCCAGCATTTGAGCATTTTTTTCTTTTTCAACTTTTACCAGTTGCTCTAGATCCTGTATGTCTGTTAGATGTTTCTGCTCTGACTGACGACGTTTTGTTTCTCTGTCCTTATAGTCCTGTAGCTCCTTCATTACTTTCTTGTGATTAAACTCTATTTCATGAAGTTGTGTCTTCAGTCGGGCCTCACTAGCGGTCTGCTTTGGCCCAGTCTGAGAGAGGCATTTTGTTGCCTGGTTGTACTGAGTGGAAACTTTTCTCCATGTGTTCTTGTTCTTTTTAAGACTCTGTACTTGCTTCTGGAGATTCATAATTTCCATATCCTTCTCGTAGTCCTTCACAAGGCTTAGTTGCTGATTTAAATTCTGACATTTGTGCTCAGATCGTTGCAGCTGGGACTGAAGTGTCCACTCTCTTTCCTTACATCTCTGCAGTTCATCAGAACCTGCAGTAGAAACCGGGAGTGATTTTAAATTCTTGATTGTAGTCTCTGCTTTTTCCAGCTGATCCTTAAGATTAGCTTGTATGAACTTCAAACTCCCAACCTGTTTCTCAAATTCTCGAATCTGGGCTATCACTCTGGATTCCCGTCCCTCTAAAGCTTTCACTTTGTTTTTTTCCCTGAGAAGTTCATCTTCAAGGTTTTTCAAAGAGATATTTAGGTTGCCGGTGTTGAATTTCTTTCTTTCTTCTTCTCCTTTCAGTTTCTCTTGATCGAGTTTTCTGTGGTAGAAGGAAGTCAGATCTTGAGACTCGCGGCATATAGCTTCTAAGGTTTTGTTGGCCTCTATTTGTGAGGCTAGAGTTTGCTGGAGAGCTTGTATTTCTGCTGCCTGTTGCTTATTCTGAGCCAGTAAGGACGTGTTTCTTGCTGTCAGTATTTTAGCTTTGTTTCTCTCCCGCACCAGAGATGCTTGAATTCTGTGCATGTTTAGAGAGTTCCCTGGAAGGATTGTCAGCTTTTTGGACAGATTTGATTTTCTTTTGTTAATTATGGCTGGAAGGCACCAACAAGGTTTCATTAGGATTAGCACTAATCAGAGAACTAGGTTCAAAACTATCTAAACCACGCGTGAATTAAAGTAGAGCTGTGCTGCAACACTTAAAATAAGTTCCGTTTAAACTCACTTTATGGGGCGTTTAAAACCGTTAAAATCGTTCAGTAACACGAACCAGATGCTTAACAACAAAAGTTGGGGAGCGATCGGTTTGCCTGCTAAGCTGTCAGATAAAGAGTGTAATGAGGATCAAAGGCGATTCCGTCATGACGTCATATAGGTAGCCAGCGTCTGCGTCGTTGCGTGCGCACGCAACGCTATCACGTGACGTGTGGTCTCCTCACGGTCTCCCGCAGCCTCGCAAGGGCGGGCGGAGTTTAGCCCACCTTTGTTTTCCGTCGAACGGCGGACACAAAGCAGCTAGAAGAAAAGCTCTCGGAAAAACTCTAAAAGTATGAACGTTTTGTTTACCCGTGACTGGGCGAGTACACATATATGCAGATGGAAATGACGGGAAACATGGGTTTAGAGGAGGTGGAGGAGAGTGTGGGACAAATTTGTCCAAGTTTGTCTCTGAAATACAAGAACAGTAAATCCACCATCTTGAATAGGATGCCCCAGAGAAGCGCTACGCCCTCTATTGTCCTGGCAGGTAATTGCTTTGCAGCAATCCCCAGCTGACAGAGAAGTCCGAAATAAAAATCTCCGTGAACGCGTGTGTGTCTCTCCCTCGTGAAGCTGACGCAAAAGCATACACTAGACAGATGTTTCTGAAAGAGTGGGAGATTAACTTGGTTTGCAGAATGTAAATTTTGTCTTCTGTTTCCGTGAAGACAAAAAGCGTCTTCTAAACATTCTGCCCTCTGACACAAGTACTACAGATGTTGGTCCTGCTGTGGATCCTGCAGGATTCTAAAAGGTGTGTGTGCGTGCGTGCGCGTGTGTGTGTGTGTGTGTGTGCGCGCACACAGATGAGATTACAATTTCTTCAGGTTTTTGTTCTGCAGTTTCTTGGTCCTCACAATGACACTTGTGAAGTGGTCGATGATGGTGTGACGGTACCACACCCCACGCGCCAGCTCAAGCAGATCCATTGTCACTGTCTGAGCTTAGTCTTGGTGTATTTGTGATATATCATACTCAACTCAACTCAGCCTTTATTTATAAAGCACCTTACAGTCATGAGCATGCCACAAGGGGCTGTACAACAAAAGAGTAAAACAATAAAACATGCAGCGCTACAGACATAATTGAAACCACAAATGAGAATTACAAAATATAAAACATTAACAATTGCTAACCCACAGAATTAAAAGCCAGATCATAAAAGTAGGTTTTCAGCCTCATTTTAAAAAGTGCTACTGATGGAGAGTCCCTAATAGTTAAGGGCAGTGCGTTCCACAGTTTCCAATCCGCAACAGAGAATGCCCTGTCCCCTCTTAACTTTAACCTAGCCTTAGGAGCCACAAGCAGCAGCTGGTTCAGAGCAGAGTGACCGGGCCGGAGCATATGGCTGCAGCAACTTTGCCAAATAGGCTGGAGCCACACCATTCAGTGCCTTAAACACCATTAAAATAACTTTAAAACGAATTCTAAAATCAACAGGTAACCAGTGGAGAGCAGCCAAAATTGGTGTCACGTGTTAATGCCTTCTTTTGCAGTCCAAGAATCTAGCTGCAGCATTCTGGACACGCTGCAGCCGGTTTACAGTACCCTTACTTACACCAAATGAAACGGAATTGCAATAGTCGAGTCGTGAGGTAATAAAAGCATCAACAACAGTCTCAAGGTCACGTCTAGATAAAAATGGCTTTACTTTAGCCAAACGTCTTGGATGATAAAATGAAGAGGATACTACAGTACCCACATGAGCATCCATGCAGAATGCACTGACCATCTTCACGCCAAGGTTCACTGCTGAAACACCCAGATAGGAGTTCAGTCCACCACAGTCTGTTAGAAAAATCTAAATGTCCACTCGGTCCAAACAACAGTGCCTGTTTTTTTTTTTTTTTTCCCATTGAGACATAGGAAGTTTTCTGCCAACCGTATCTTCATTTCTGCCAAACAATCCCAAAAATTTTTTTTCATGTGGTCACTGGCGCCATCTAGAGGTAAGTACAATTGGTAGTCGTCGGCAAATGTTCACAAATCATCATAGTCACAAATGAGCTCTTGTTTAATGACTGGACAATCTGTCATTATTTCCAGAGCTTCGGATGAGGCTTTGTCGCCGGTCATGGCATGGCCAAACTGTTGGTGTAGGTTCGGGACAACTTTAAGCTGTCCTTTCATTGACATCTCTGCTGTCACCATAAGTACTTCAGTTTCATTGCAGCTCACTTCTGCATTTTCACCTCTAATGTCAGTAGTGTCCCAAAATAGTCGGCTCAGGAGGCACTTGACATTTTTTCATGGTCAAGATCGCCATTCTGGCATTTTGGTTTGCCTATTTTGGATGGAAGCTTCACTTTTCTGTTGGAGAACACCACTTGACCATCTCCAAATCTGAAAGACTTGCAGCTTGGAGATTTTTTTTTCAGTAGTTTGTGGATCTGGTTTTCATTCAGCTCTTTTGTATCTCCAGCCACTTTTCACTACAAACAGTTCTTGTTCATGCAGTGTCAATGGCTCAACCCTATGATTCAGTGTGATCCTGTGATCTCAGTCTGCTATACCCTCCTTAGTGAACAGCATAATGTTACATTGTTTTCCATTTTTGTCTTCTGTTAACTTTATTTAGTCTTCTTTAGCCCAATGGTACTTTGTCAGATAACGTATTTAATTTGCTTACCATATCTGTTGAGTGGATTTGTACCCTGTTGTGGCTTCCATGATCCGCCCTGTGGTGGGGCATTACTCCATCTGAATTTGCTCTGTGACTTGTGTTCTGGAATGGAAACTGCACCTTGAGCATTGCAGCCAATGCTGGCCCTGGTGGCTTTCTACTGAAATACCAGTTTAGTGCCAAATTCATGAAAAGACTGAAACCATTACAGATATTTTCTGATGTTGTAATGCTGATATTGGCTGATTTTAATGGTAGCCCGTTAGCGTGCGTGAAAATTAAAATCATGACCAGAATGCTTCCTTATCATCCAGCCCTATTTTCTACCAATTTAAAGAGATATTCCACCCAAAAGTTAAAATTTGTCTGTTGGCATATTTAACGGCAGTGGTTAACGATGTGTGCATTTGTGTTTATGGAAGCAGGTGTCTTTGGGGCTGCTTAGTTGTTTCAGCGGAAGCTTGCAGCTGTGCTTCGTCATAATGTAGTCCCAAGTCTAAAATGGCACCTAGAACTAAACTTGAGGCACAAAGAATTAATAAAAATAATAACCAGATTTCTCTACCTTTACTTAAACCTTTACACTCATCACTTGTAGGCGACTCGGCTCTAATGAACCAGCTCATTGAAAGCCTCCCAGCTCTGCCTCCTTGTGAACTGGTGGACCCTACCGATGATCAGACGCTGCCCCGTCTGATTGAGGTCCTGGAACAGCGGCATCGTATTCGCCAGATGATGACTGAACAAGTCACACACACTGGTATGGTTTATTTGTCTCTATCACAGATAGTAATCTTTTTAATTCCATTAAGTATCAAGTTAAAAAAAATCTAAAATATTTTTCTAAGTAAATTATTTCTGTTATTTTACAGCCAATAAGGTGAAGTTCATGCTCCAGCAGTTTGACAGTCAGATGAGCTCAAAGGACACCTTCGTCCATGACCAGCAGAGCAAACTAAACGAGAAAGAAAAAGTCATTCTGAACCAGAAGACTGAGATTGAACGCTTAGAGAAAAAATCCAAGACATTGGAGTACAAGGTGTCATGTCCTTTTTGTACTGCTTTTATTTATTTGTTTTTATTTGATACCAATCATTTTCTTTTGCTTGTCGGTCTCACTCTTGCTCCTCCTCTTCAGATCGACATTCTGCAGAAAACAACAGAGATGTACGAGCAGGACAAGCGCTCCCTTCAGCAGGAGCTGGAGGGCCAGGAGCAGATGCTGCAGAAGGAGCTATCGGAGAGGAGGCGCATGGAGCAGCGAATGCAGGGCGTGGTGACGGACACCAAACTCAAATGGGAGAAGGAGTGTGTGAGTCAACTTGCATATACCCAGTTATTATCAGAACATTTTATTTTTGTAAGATTTTTGGTTACTGTTCCTAAACATATTAGCCAAACATTCTTCCAGCCCTTTAATTTCCCCACAAATTGAATATTTTAGCCTCATTTTCAAACTGAATGATCATCTGTGGTTGGGCTTGATTCCTATAGTTCCAGAAACGTGGAGATAATTCTTATTTCTTCTCAGGAGAGACGAGTGAATGCCAAGCAGCTGGAGATGCAGAACAAGCTGTGGGTGAAGGATGAAAAGCTGAAGCAGCTCAAAGCCATTGTGACAGAGAACAGCAGTGGTGGCAGCTTTCCACCTGAACCACCAAAGAAACCTGAGAGACCCTCCAGAGAGAGAGACCATACCATGCCCCAGAAGCGCTCTGCCTCGCCAACAGCTCTTCCTGTAAGTGATTTTATTTTGAAAAACCACCATAATCATTCTGCTTCTTCATTGCTCTTTTAATTTAATTCATGTTAAAAATGTGCATGTTGCTGATTAATGTTGTGCTAACCTTCTGGGCACATTTGGTTGTGTTGTACTCTGTGTGAATATTTGGTGTGTTTCCGTTGATCCGTAGCCTCTAACTTCACTCTGCCTTACCTGATCCCCTCATTACTTTGCAGGGCTTTAACCAAACTCCTCTTGGCCAAAATCGAGTCAATGTTAGGACATTTCAGGATCATTACTGTACCTCCACCCCCTCCACCTCTTCACCATATCCTTCAGTAGCCTCCTGTATCTCCGAATGGGAGCAGAAGTTCCCTATAGACTCGGGTAGCCAGTCTAGGCTCCATGGAACCCCCCAAAACCAGAACCGGACTCCTGCTCCAGGCTACAGCACCAATAGTGTGGATCGCAGGAGAGGCCAGCGCTGGGCACCAGACACTGAGGCTCCCACCAATGATTTAGACCGAAATGCAGGCACAAGGGTTAGTGTGTTAGCAGATGTGCTTAAATCTGTAGACCTGTAAACATTGTTTTGTGTAGAGCTGCTATGCTAGTGCTAGTAGTAGATGTGTGCTTGTTCAGAAATGCTTCAAGTAGAACCAGGAAGACTAGAATTTCTTTGTCTCCTGACCTTAAGTTTGTCTCCTCTCCCTCCTTAAAACTGAGCTCTTCTTTGCTTCGCCCACAGATGCGTCTAGAATAGTTTCATTGTAATTTTCACACATTTCAGCAGCATCATTTGAAAAGACATTATAGCAACACCTAAAGATTCCAGCCTGTCCCTCCTACTGATTGAAAGTGGAATTGCAGCCGTCATAAACAACCCTGAGGCAGGTTGCTGTTGCTAGCACTAATGCTAACATGATCAAACCGTTACTAAAACAAGCCACAAATGAAAAAGATCCACATTGATATAATTACAAGACCAGTAGCAACAAAGCCATGCAGCTCACCACCAGTTTAGGATTTCATAGCCCCCTTCAGCTCCCTCAAACTAGTGTAGACCACGCCGATGTTCACTCTGGTTTTAGCTCTTTGCTTCACCTCCAAATACATCACTCTCTTACGTTTACTTCCAGGCTCAACCTTCTTGATGACAACAAACAAAAACAAAAAAAGTATTCTTCTTGTGCTTTTTATTAACAGTTGGCAAGCTGAAAACTGCTAGCCTATGTATTAGCTACCGCCACAGTAAATGGCTATTGCCATGAAGCAGAGACCTCTCACTAGTGTTCCAGCCCAAACACACAACTGTTAAGTGCCATTTCTGGTCAGCAGAGGGCTACAGAGTGCTTTCCAGTGTTAAGATGCTAAAGTTTCTGCCTCAAGAACCACTGAAACCAGTCTACAAGCAATCGTTTATAGTGTTAAAACCTCTTTAATGTTTTAAATACCAGTTTAATGACTGGCTGTCTGTTAGCAATGGCAGCAGTGTCGTTAATCGTTTTGGGTAGACAGTACATACATTAGCATGTTAATATTTAGAAGATAAGTTCACTATGTTGATCCTGCTTGTCTGTGACAGAAACTGCAAAAAGATTCAGTTCAGCACTAATACCTGGCTTTAAACTGACTTTACTGGGCTTAACCCACCCAGGTTCAGGTCCCACATGGGTGAATGTGGAAATTACAAACAAGTACTTTTATCTCAGGGGAAGATCAGTATTCATGCTCATTTCTAATGTACACATAATTAACCTTCCAAGGCATCATTGAACTGAACTTAGATTTTTGTCACTTTCAGTTTATAGAAAATCGAATCTGAAGAATTAAAAGTGTCATTCAACTAAATAACCATATTGTTGTTTGCGGGCCTTTGCATGCTTGTCTAGTGTTTCTATCTTAGACCTAATATCTCACATTTTGTTCTGTCTTGCATGTTGTACATCACTCACAGTTGGGAGTTTTCCAAATGCACGATGATGATTTATTGCTGGAAGTTCATGTTTCCATAATTGAAATTTCTCAACAAATTGTAAAATTTGTTTCCAAACTAAATCCAACATGAAGTTCTTCATCTAGTTGTAACTTCCAGTGATAAATTCATTCTCACCACAAACTAACACCTGCTACAAATCGAACTTCCTTACTAATGGTAGTTAGCCATAAAAAGTACCTGATGTGAATATTGTCCTGATTTGTGTTTCTCACTTTGGGATCACCAGACGGTTCCTCCGGTTCGCCCAACGCACAGGCGCTCACGGTCTGCGGGTGGGGAGAAATGGGTAGACCACAAACCAGCCTCTAATTTGGAGCTAGACACTGTAATGCAGCCAATCATACCCAATGCAATCAAGGTGTCGACCCCCAACGAGAAAGCTCTGTCTAAATGTCACAAGTATGTGCTCAGACACCAAGAGCTTGCCTCGGACGGGGAGATCGAGACCAAATTGATCAAGGTAAAACCTAATTTAAGGTTTCTGGTTAATATGTGCATGAAAATCTTATTTCATTACATGTTGATTTGAATCATTTTAATTCTTGGGTTGTGTTTTAACCATAAATGGGACAGTCCTGCCTATTTCATAATGAACCAGTGCATAAATACATATACATGTTTTACTCCCAAAGGGTGATGTTTTTAAGACCAGAGGTGGAGGACAAGCTGTGCAGTTTACTGACATTGAGACTCTAAAGCAAGAGTGTCCAACAGCACCAAGGTACAATATTTCCCTCAAATACCCCGGGCTTATTATGCTGCTCAGAGTGTTTGCAGAATATTCTGATTAATTGGTTGAAAGAATTAATGGGATTATTACATTTTTTTAACTAAATGGGAAGTTGATAATATATTTGGCCTGTTAATGCCTGGCTTTCTGGTTTGCAAAACTGATGCAGATCTCCAGTTTATAGCCGTGTTTCCTTTGCTGGAACTTCAGGGTAAATTCTGGGAGGAGGAAACTGAATGAGATACAAAGTCCCGGTCCTCTCAGCTGTTGTGTCTCCATTCAAATTCAGTCCTTTCAGGACTTTGTACAGACGTCAGCATATAGCGGCTGATTCAGCAGTGAGTGATGTCACTGAGAAGCGCCAAAAAGCGTCCACAGTAACATTAAAAGTTGTAATCTGTTGAAGTATACCATAATTTTATCCATGCAGAGGACGGGAGCAGCAGTGTGTGTGATGTAAAATGTGACGTTCAATAACCATAAGAAGCTCCGTTTTTTACAGCGCTCTTTGAGACAATAAAGCCCCGTGCCTTATGTCGTTCCTTGTATTTTCAGGTGTTGGGAGTGAAGTAATGGCAATTTTAAAGCAGCTCAATCTGTACGTTTTTTTTTTGCTTTCAAATTTGCATCACAAGTGTAGTGTTAGTCTACAGATGTATTTTGGTGTTTTATTTATGATCAATAAGATAGAGGATTCCATATAACTATAGAATATCAACCTGATTGATCCCTGAGTATTTAACCAGAAGAAGTAAGATTATTTGTTTATTCAGGGATTGTAAGTACACTTCGTATTAATTCAGACAAAGTCAAGTTTATAAAAAGAAATTTTGTTTTCTCAACAAATGATAAGACATGACAACTAGGAAACTGTGAGGTGATGAGTGTATGATGTGTGAATGTGATGTTATCAGAACCCTCGTATCTGGAAGAAACTTAGTTCTGAGTGTGATTGAATTTGGTCTGCATTAAACTATAAGTGATGGTTTATAAAACGGCATCAGACACAATCTTACTGTGTTCTACGTACCTCTGAGGTGACTCTCTTTCGGATCCGAGATGTCGGGTCGGGTGACTCCAAGGTACCAAAGTTCGTAGAAAAATCCGCAATACGACCAGGTCAGTCCAGAGTTCTCAACGGTTGGAATCTTACAGAGTGGAAGCTGTCAGCTTTGCAGCATGCAAAAAGGTTTTGGCTGTGTCAGAGAGATGTTTCAAAGAGGCTGATTCCAGATTGGCCACTCCGGAATCTCAGCTGGAAACAAACTCCACTCGGCTCGATGAACTTCAACGAACTGACTAACTCGGGAAGTGATCGTGTTTTTATTATTCCCATGTTATGATTTTATGGCAAACCAAAACTTGCCATGTTTAAAGGGTTTTACCAAGCAAACCTCAGAAACCACACCTTGCTCAGATACAGGAGCTCTGATTTGTGGATCAGAAAACAATGTGTCATGAGATTACTTTAACCTTGTCATCATCGTGTGTATGAGGGTGTGTGAGCTTGTCATGTAGACAGTGATTAACTTGTTTCATCAAACTTTACTGATCATAACATAATATTAATTTAAACTTAAGTAATTTAAGCACATATTAATCAAAACATTGTTATTCTTCAGCCATTATTATTCATTCAACCATATGATTATTTACGTATTTCATTGCATCATCCAGTATTCATTATTATAACGGTTCAGTCCTTTATTCTGTGCAGGACAGCCTAGATAAGCAGACAGGCTTGGCAGAGAAGAACCTTGGGAAGGGAATATGATGTTGACAATCTGAGTGTAAACACGCAGCGTCAAATCTTTCTTGCAGATTAAAGGCACCAGATGCAGCCTTTGTCTCCATATGACCGGATACTGAAGAGGTCAAACTGTAGATGAAAAAGTGACCATTTCTGGATGCTACATGAGCAACTCTTAATTTTACTAATGCCGGTTGTTTTGAACAGCGTTTGCTGATGTAATTTCCTACTGAGTTACAATCAATGGGCATGAATTAACCAAAAGTTCCTCTCAGCTACTCCACCGGGCCATTTTGAGTACCTACCCCTGTTCAGTTACTCAGAAAGTTCCTGGAAACATCCTGGAAAACTGCCGTATGGCTGGCATGATCAAGTGGAGACACGCGCATGTCAGGAGGTTCCTGCACATTTACTCTGAAGTTCCAGTAGTGGAAACACACCTTATGACTGCTCTGAGCTGCTAATACCGATTTTGAAAGATTATTTTTTTATTGCTGCTAATCAAACATAAAAATCATTCTGGGGTTATGAAGCTAATCGTGTTGGATAAAGGTTGGTTCTGATCACCAGCTAGTTTTTATTTACTGTGCATCTCTTTAAACACACACACGCGCACACCAATGTGTCTTTTTCACAAAAAAAATCAGCTTTTCTTCAGAAATCTTTACATGTTTTTATTTTATTTTTTTTAGTCGCAAAAGGCGATCAGGGTCAGATGAAGGACCTGCTCAAACTGAAGACATAGAAAACAGGGTAAGTAATTTCTAATCTGAACAACATGTGGAGCACTCAGCAGCTGGGCTGCCTGATAAACAAGAAGTTGCACTGCACATGTGCGGCTGGTATTGATAAGCAACATGTCAACATGCACGTACACAAAACACTGCTTTTAGCTCCTACATTATCAATTATAAATAAATGTGTATGGATGATAAAACATGTCCCTTCTTTTAGGCTCCAGTGGGAGGCACCAGTTCAAGCAATGGGTATCAAAAGTAAGCAAAAACCTTGTTTTTGCATTTTGTGTTTCTCCAGTGAAATGAATTTGTGTTTGTTTTTCCAGACGCAGAAGACCGTAAGACGCTGCACGACTAAACTCTTCACTGAAAACATGTTGCCTCTCAAATCAGTGAAAGGGACACTACGCATCTTTTCAACAAGCATTATCATCTGAATTTAAGGCATATTATTGGTGCAATTCTTATTTAATCTTAGCTTAACGGAGTAGTAACTTGTAACTTGCTGGGTTTATGCGCTCTTTCCTTTTCCAATGTTGGAATCATGTCCAGTTAAGAACAAAGGTAGGATTAGTAGTCACGCGTGACCTCGCTACAATAGTTTTGGTTTAGTATCCTTTGATTACCCTGTACCCAAAGATTTAATTATTTGTGATGCAATCTTTTTAAATGCCATAGATTATTGTTTTTGTTTGTGTTTTTTTCCCCTTGGACTCATTCAGCTATTGTGTGTCACACTGAATAAGCATGTTGCTAATTACAAAAAACAATTTTAAGATCCACAAAGTGTAGAGCTGCATATGTAAATACTGATCTGTCACAAGTTGAGCTAAAAAACTGTAAATACCTTTTTTTTTAAACCCCTCCTCAGATATGTACCATGCAGGGGTTTTTGATTAGAATAAAGTAACTCAGACACAAAGATGTGATGATTTTCTTTCATTCGCAAAACATTTTAAATATAAAGTTTATATCTCGAGATGCTCTGATCACGCTTTTTTGCCCCAGATCCAATTCCGAATCATTAGAGTTTGAGCATCTGTCAATATCGCGTCTTGATCTGATACTTTTCAGGAAAGCATTGAAACGAGAAGAAAACCTCCAATTTGTCCTTTAAGTTTCACTTTCACTTGTTTAGGAATTACACTGATTCAAAAACGTGTTTATATTATGAATATATCAAAATAGCAGCGTTGCTCTTATTTTCAAGTTGTTTACTCCCTCAAGCTTCCCCAGCTGGAAACAATCTGAAGTTTCCTGAATGAGTGATCTGGCCCGATTTCTGATCCTGTGATTAAATCGGAGCATCCCTACTTATATCTATATTAGTTTTCCTGAGTTAGTATTATTGAGGTTAATCTTTAATCTAATTTACAATTTTTTGTGGCTTTTGACAAAACTGGAATTTAAGTCAAAATAGGAAAGCTTTCTGTTTAATTTGCAAACAAAATCACACTGCGTGGTGCAAACTAGGTTCTACATCTTAATGTAGACAGTTTTTTTCCTTTCATTAAAAATTACAGTATGTAATTGGTTTCTCTGAGTAGTACACATTCAACAGGGGAGGGAGAGCCTGTACAGTAGTTTGATGTCCGAACAGCAGATGGAACTAAACCTCCTCACCCCTTCTTTCCACCGGAGCCGTCAGCAGCACGTCATAGCTGCTGATAGGAACCGCTGTGGTCAACAGAACCTTTTCCACCAGAGCCGTCAGCAGCGCGAGTCGGCCGCGTCTCAGGAGCAGCATGTCGCGTATTTACAGTCTATGGTAGCCAGCGTCTGTGTCGTTGCGTGCGCACGCAACGCTATCACGTGACATGTGGTCTCCCCGCGGTCTCCCTCCCGCAGCCTCGCAGCAATCCCCAGCTGACGGAGAAGTCCGAAATAAAAATCTCCGTGAACGCGTGTGTGTGTATCTCCCTCGTGAAGCTCACGCAACAGCATACACTAGACAGATGTTTCTGAAAGAGTGGGAGATTAACTTGGTTTGCAGAATGTAAATTTTGTCTTCTGTTTCCGTGAAGACAAAAAGCGTCTTCTAAACATTCTGCCCTCTGACACAAAAGTACTACATATGTTGGTCCTGCTGCGACCCTGCAGGATTCTAACAGGCGTGTGTGTGTGTGTGTGTGTGTGTGTGTGTGTGTGTGCGTGTGCAGGGGCGTCTTCAGGCTTTATGAAACACCTGGGCTGAGCCCAGACCACAAGCGACATTTCACTTGAATAAAAACAAGTGTTATATAATTTTATGCACTGTAATATTATAGCATATATCATATATATATATATATGTATATATATATATATGAAAAAAATTATATATATATATATATAAGAGAGAGAGAGAGAGAATTATACAAAGTAAGTAGCCTAAATTTAGTTTCCAATGCAAAATCGATGCAGATCGATCTGGCTCGATTTCTGATCCTGTGATTAAATCGGAGCATCCCTACTTATATCTATATTTGTTTTCCTGAGTTAGTATTATTGAGGTTAATCTTTAATCTAATTTACAATTTTTTTTTAGCTTTTGACAAAACTGGAATTTAAGTCAAAATAGGAAAGCTTTCTGTTTAATTTGCAAACAAAATCACACTGCATGGTGCAAACTAGGTGTGTGTGTGTGTGTGTGTGTGTGTGTGTGTGTGTGTGTGTGTGTGTGTGTGTGTGTGTGTGTGTGTGTGTGTGTGTGTGTGTGTGTGTAACCTCATACATACACTTTTCAGTAAATCTGATGCTGTTGGGTTGCACATCAGACTCCGTTAGCCTAGCGGTGCTCTAGTTCAGGTCTAAGGTATTCTTTCCTTATCTATCTTAATGTAGACAGTTTTTTTTTCCTTTTTCCTTTCATTAAAAATTATGTAATTGGTTTCTCTGAGTAGTACACATTCAACAGGGGAGGGAGAGCCTGTAGTTTGATGTCTGAACAGCAGGTGGAACTAAACCTCCTCAGGAGGAACACATGGCATTTCAGCTTCATGAGCTAAGAAAAAGGTAATGTATTGAGTTTTCCATTTACGGGGTTTTAGTTCTAGCTGCTCGTTTAGAGTCACAGCTCGCGTTTCCCATGGTGCCCTGCTGTCTCGGTCATGTCGTTTCACACCGCATGCCTGGACAACCTGGGTGATGAGGTCACCGTTTTGATGAACTACTTCCCTGCCTGGATGATGAGATGTCCTTAACTTCTGCCGAAGTCCAAAATTGCGGCATTTTCACTTCACAGCTAATGAGGCTGAAAGGTATGTGCACTAATGCGTAATGTGCACTTGGCGAATTGACTGGAGGGCAATTTCCATACAGAAACTAGTTCATCACGTACGAGCAGTAATTTTTGTTCCTTTTGGCTGTGGAATATAAAAACATGCACCACCTGCTCAGACATTTTAAAGGGGAATCCTCTCTAGGGTTACGTTTCTCCTTTTTATAAGGGTCTTTGGAGGATTTTAGTAGCTACTTTTTATTTCTTGTTCCAGATGTACTGATAATCGATTTGTAATAGGGCTGCACAATATGAGGAGCACCTGCAATATGCGATAACAGTGATTGATACTGCGATGACGATATTACTTGCAATAAATAAAAACTTAAAGGGACTTTACGGAGTTTTGAATTTTTATGCTCGTGATTGCCCCCTCAGGCCAAAAGCATAACGGCAGCTTCAATAGTAGGCTCGTGCACGAGGCACGCATGCTGTACGTGCACACTCCTTAATGAAAATAATTTGTGTGTGTGTGTGTGTGTGTGGGGGGGGGGGGGGTGGACAGAGGACAGGAGAACGCGCAGCTAATTAATTAAATAATTTGATTCTGTACCTTTCTCTTCAGCACAGCCGACAAAGGTTTATGATGGGTCAGTCTTCCTGCATGCTCAGATCATCCCTTCCCTTGCTTGAAAAATTGTTCCAAAATGAAAGTTGAACCCACATCTTTTTAAACTGTGAATTCAATGCCTTTTGGCGAGTCTCGAATAAAAATTTGGGCATCTTACTGTAAAAAAATGTACCATTAATGAAAAAAAGAAACTCTAAATAAAGTTGAGTTGGCACTACCTCACTCTCTGCTGCTAAAGCTACTGACAGCAAATGCTACGGGCGATGCCTGAGCGTGAACGCGCACGAAGCACCCTGCTCGACCCGAGCAGCTCAGCTCAACTATCTTTTTCTGTGATTTTACAGAAAAACAAGCAATCACAGTAAAAATGCCAGGGCTCATTCTACAGGGCCAGGGCATTGCAGGAGAATGTATGAAGAAGAAATTTATTATTTCTATACATGTTTTGGCTGTCAAACTTCCATAATGCCCCTTTCACTCGGGAACAAAAATAATCAGAAACAAAGAAATAAAAAAAAATAATAAATATAAAAAGGAGAAAAGCAAAATATGTGAGGAAAAGGAAAAAGAAAATGAACAAGAAAAGACAATCAGTGGATCCTGGGAAAAGCAGAATCGGCAGAAAGAGCAGAACAAATCTAACTCAGGTGTTTGCTAACCATCATAATTAAGTGCCGTCCATCTTGGGGGCGGGCATCTAACCTATGAGAACCCGCCCAATTGGCCAAATGGGTGAAGAGCTCAATTTGATTTGTTAAAAAAAAACATCACGCTTCCCTTTGACAGAATTCATTATGTGTAGCAAACATTTGAGCTGACCATTCATTGCAATATTTGTTCTTTGCGATATGCATATTGTGCATGCTGATATCGTGATGACTGTGCAGCCCTATTTTGTAATTATTATTGAAGAATGTGTAACGTGATTAAGGAGCCATTTTTATCCTTTAACAACTGTTCCCTTTTGACACAGTGCCAGAGTGCATGAAACAGCCTCAAGGTCATGCATTCGCTTCTAAACTGTTTACGTTCCAGCAATGAAGACAGAAGAACGAAGAATGAACTCTTTTCTTTTAATTAATCAAGGAACTCTATTTTAATGAAGCTAATCCATCAAAGTGTTAGTCAATAATAAGATGTGACTGACCTGTGAAATCAAAATATTAATTACTTTTTTATGATCTTAGAAATGAGAAGTACTGTGACTTTAAGGACACAGGACTCATTTCACGTAGTGTTAAAAGGACAAGACACATTCCTTTCACTGATCCAATCAGAATCTTATAGATCTGACGGAGGCGTGCTTCTGACGGTGTTTGGTAATTTTCATTCGACAATAAACCGCAACATCCAAGGTATAAAACTACGCCACGTCAGCTCTAACGCCAGTTCAAAGCGTTCCAGAGCAAGCGTCGGAGTGGCCAATCCTACCTTTAACTCTTCAACCAAAAGAACCACGACAAGCTGAAAAATCCAGTCGCTATAACAACCAGCGACAACAGTTCCTTTCAGATTAAAAGCTCCACAGACCCAGGCTGGGTCTGAACAGACGCCATTAAAAGTGTCGTGTGCCGGAGGTAACTCGAGACGGGTCTGGTCGGAACCTCGGCTTCTTCTACCAGCTCGGTTTCCAGAGAGGGTCTGCTGGGCCTCGGCATTACTGATCTACAGAGGACTTCCACAAGGCAGGTAGACCCGACTTGATGGTGTCTCATGTGTTTCTGAAACTAACCCAAGCTTATTTCAAAACGACATCTTCAGTTCCCGTCAGAACTAATCGCTTCTTCGGATTTGGTTCTGATTACATCACACGTCATCCATTCACCGTCTCATCCATTTTTAGTCACACTATACATTTAGTTTAAAGTAAGTATAGTTTAATTGTTCGTAATAAAATTAACTTTTAAACTTGACTCTTTCTATTCTGTTGTCTCTGAGTGAATACATAATGGTTACATCATCTCTGCATTAAAAAGATCCCATCTTCTGGTTTAAATAACCCACCGCTCCGTAAGGTGGATTTCATATTTACTATGGAATCCCACGCCTTCCGGCTCATTAAATAAATGTAATAAACACCTTAGTTTCCTTACA